CCATTGGTATTATTTATAAAGGCTTCCAAATTTTCTATTTAGTTAATACAATAAATTAGTTGCCTATTGGAAAAAATTTAGATTGCTTTGCAGTTGTAAAAAAAAAAAAAAGGAAAAGATGCTATAAGAGACATCTTTACATATAAAGCTTTTTTTCCCTCTTGCTTCTGTTCATTTGCCATAAACAGATGTCTAAAAGGGAGACTGCTTGGTCAAAGGGTATAAACATTTTTTAAAAAATGTTTATTGGGGGAGAGGGGCTTCTCAATGCCTCATTTTACAGATGGTAAGTCCAGTTACCGACTGTCAAGCCTAAGCCTAGCTCTCTTAATTTTGAGTCATGGGATCTTAGAGGGAAATAAAGACAGCATCAAAAAAACATCCCATAGGATGAATCTACAACACAATACCAGACTGGCACGGGATGCGTAAGTTAACTATAAACCAGCTTCTAATGAATCCACTTCAGGATTTCTTTCCAATGAAATGAATGGATTACTGGTTTTACCTTTCAAAAATCAACAGATATTTCCTAATAGCTCTGGTCCAACGGCACTGAGCAGTTCAAATAAAAAGTACCATTAAAAATGCCATATGTAAATGACCAGCAAGCACATGAAAAGATGCTTACCATTGTTAATCACTAGGAAAATGCAAATCAAAACCACAATAAGATACCACTTCATGCCTACTAGGATGGCAATAATTTTTTTTTTTTTTTGTCTTTTTCCGTGTCCGGCAACGGACCGCAACCCTCAGCGTCGCCCCCGTACCGGACCGGGACCGGCAACAGGATCGCAACCCTTGGCATTGCCCCCGCGCCTCGCTCAGCCAGTGAGAGGGAACCGGTCTGTATGTGGGATCCGAACCCTCGACGGGAGCGCCGCCGCGCTTCCCAAGCGGCGCACTAGCGCAGTGCGCCACCGGGCCGGCCCGATGGCAATAATTTTTTAAAAACCTGAAAGTGACAGGAGTTGGTGAGTATGTGGAGAAATTAGAACCCTGTACATTACCATATGACCCAGCAATTCCACTTCTAGGTGCATACTCTGAAGAATTAAAAACAGGTACTCCAACAAGCATTTGTATGCAAACATTCATAGCAGCACTATTATTCCAACAGTCAAAAGGTGACAACAACCCAAATGTCCATCAGTGGATGAAAGGATAAACAAAATGTGCTCTAGCCAGACGATGGAATATTATTCAGCCATACGGAACATACTGATCCATGCTACAACATGGGTGAACCTCAAAAACATATGCTAAGTGAAAGGAGCCAGACACACAAGGTCACATAAACTATCATGTCATTTATAGGAAATATCCATAATGGGCAAATCCATAGAGACAGAAAGCAGATTGATAGTTTCCAGGGACTCGAGGAAGAGGGGAAAGGCAGTGACTGCCTAATGGGTACAGGGTTTTCTCTTGAGGTGATAAAAATGTTTTGGAACTAGACAGAGGTGTTAGTTGCACGACTCTATGAATGTCCTAAGTGTCACCAAACTGTTCACTTCAAAATGGATAATTTTATGTTATGTGAACTTCACCTCAATAAAAATAAAAAATAAATGCAAGCCATAAATCGTCTACCACCGCATAATAATCCACGAAACCTGAAGGGAGAGAATATTCACAGTGTAGGATGGATGAAAAGAGCTGTGACTCTGGGGGACGCTTGTCTTTCCATCCGCAGGCTCTTCCTCTCCCCAGCAGGAGGCTCACGTGCCGGCCCCTTCCGGAAAGCAGTGACAGTCACAGGCTGCACACGGGTGGCGTCACTGCTCTGCAGAGACCACTTCCACCCCTTGTGTTAATGTCTTTGCTCCTGTGCCCACACAGATCGTCTGTGCTCTCTGTTCCTGCCCAGCAGCACTTTCTCATACACATACATGACCTTTCTTCCCTGAGTCTCCCCCTCTGTCTTTGCAGGGGTGTCTGGGCCCTGCTCAGTGTGCTGTCCTCAGCCCTCCTAATCTCTCTGACCTTGTCCCCTACAACTCCCCCTTGCTCACTGCACTCCAGCCACACAGACCACCCTGCTGTCTCCTCTGCCTGGAGCACCTTTCCCTCACGTATATCCCCCCCCTTGGAAGGTCTCTAACCAAATGTCCCGTTCATAATGAGGCCTTTCCTAGCCTTGCTATGTAATATTTTAATCCTTATCCCCAGCACTCCCTACTCCCCTTTTCTCATTTATTTTTCTTCCAAGAAGCCTAGAATTTAAGGAGGAAAAACAGAGCATATCAGAGGCTGAAGCCAGTAGCTTCTGCAGAAGACACAATCACAGTAACTAATCCAGGGGCATGAAGGCCAGGACCTCCACACCACAGGCAGGGGCCTGATGTGAATGGGTGTGAGCCAGGACTGGGACAGAAGGGAGCGGTGGTGACTGAGAAGAATTGACCATTCTGAGCTCCATCTAAAAGCTTTAAAATTCAGATTTCAACATCTGTAGAGTCCACACAAAATGCACCTAGGGGGCGGTCTTTTTAGGCACGTATGCTGTCAGTCTGTAAATGCTGCTATAATAAAAATCACCTAGATTTATAGTATTTTCAGTCACCCAAGCATTCTAGTACTTTGATCTCAGTGACAGAAATATTCACGTATTTTTCTGGAAAGGAGGAGGTAGGCAAAGAAATAAATGCTTTCCTGCCCTTCATATTCGTTCTAACCACGAGTGCTAAGTATGCTGGAGATTCATGCTACTTTCCCTTCATCTCTGTGCCCAACCATAAAACAGCTGGGGTAGAGTGGACAGGGACCAGACAAAGGTTGGACAGCCCCCGGTTTCAATCCCAGCTCTGTCATTACTTTATATTATATGTTGTCAGCACCACGCTCTCCGGAGTGAGCCAAGGGCCGGAGCCTAAGGCCAAAATCATTGCCCAGTCCTAAATCCTGGAGCATTTCCCTTACATTTTCTTCTATGAGTTTTAAAGTTTCAGGCCTTATGTTTAGGTCTCTAATCCATTTTGAGTTGATTTTGGTATATGGTGAAAGGTATAGATCAAGTTTCATTCTTCTTAAAGTAGATATCCAGTTTTCCCAGCACCATTTATTGAAGAGGCATCTTTTCCCCAATGTGTCTTCTTGGTGCCTTTGTCAAAGATCAGTTGGCTGTAGATATGTGGGTTGATTTCTGAGTTCTCTATTCTGTTCCATTGGTCCATGTGTCTGTTTTTATGCCAGCACCACGCTGCTTTTGTTACTACAGATTTGTAATACAGTTTGAAGCCAGGAAGTGTAATGCCTCCAGCTTTACTTTTTTGGCTCAGGATTGCTTTGGCTATTGGGGGTCTTTTGTTGCTCCATCTGAATGTTAGGATTGCTTTTTATATTTCTGTAAAGAATGTCATTGGTATTTTGATGGGAATCGCGTTGAATCTGTAGATGGCTTCGGGTACTATGGACATTTTGATTCTTCTATTCCACGAACAAGGAATGTCTTTCCATCTCTTAGTGTTTTCTTTAATTTCTTTCAGAAGTGGTTTTTAGTTCTCATTGTAGAGGTCCTTCACCTCTGTGGTTAGATTTATTCCTAGGTATTTTATTTTTTTGGAGACTATTGTAAATGAACTTGCTTTCTTGATCTCTTTTTCTTCTAGTTTGTTGTTTGTGTATAAAAATGCTAATTTTTATGTTGATTTTGTATCCTGCAACCTTACTGAATTAATTTATCAGCTCTAAGAGTTTTTTGGTAGAGTTTCTTGGGTTTTCTATATATAGAATCATGGAGTAAGGCTAATGAGGAATTGGTCAACAGACACAAAAACTGATCACATATTGTAATGACAAATCAGCTAACTATATTGATCTAACCACCACACATTCTACACAATTATTGAAAATCAACATTGTACCACATATGTATGCATAATAAAAAATAAAAAATAAATTTTAAAAAAAGAACATTAGGCTACATGTGATCTATTATCAAACAATATCAGTTTATCAACACATGCATTAGTTTTCTAACAAGTCCACTATATAGAATACAAGGTGAAATTTATTATAGTTGGTTATCCATGTTTTCTTAATTTTATTTATGTGATAGATGCTTAAAGTTTCCTATGTACCTTCTCTGATGAATTCTAACAAAACTGCCCAAAGAGACCAGAAATACTAAATTAGTCAGATTATCTACATTGCTTCATTAAATTCATTTTACTTCATCCATAGATGAGAGGCCTCCTGAATATATTCACAAAGCTCAATTAGTAAGATTGAGAACTTTCTGGGTTTAGAAGTGAAATGACAATGATTTAGGAAAAGGAAAGAGCTTTCCAATGTAGGTAACCACGCAACGCAACAAAACCAACTCGCGGCAGCTGACAGCTGATGCTGCTAGAAAAGCTGTTCTTCATCTTATTGCTGAAGGCGAGATAGAGAGGCCTTTCCGGTGCACAGCAAAATCAGCGACAGGTGAAAACAGAACGAGCGGGGCGCACGTTTACGTGCAGAAGCCAGCGTCTCCGCTGACTCTAAGCGTATCTGTGAGCAAGTCCAAACGCTACAGCTGAAGTTCCCAGCAGCTGTGTGTGCACAAAACAGCCACAGAGCCTGGCCAACGGCCCTCGTCCACTTCACCTGGGCACGATGGTCTTTATGAACACAGCGATGCAACGGTGGGTGTCACCAGAACAAGTGCCTTCAAATAAGGACACTAGTAGTAACCCCCAACTATCTCACAAGGTTGTGGAAAGGATCAAAAGTGCAGAGAAAAGAACACTTGAGAAAGCACTTCGGGGACAGTGCGGTGATATCACAACTATCGGAACATCTGTAATTTGCATTTAACTACGCTAACCTCCTGAGCAATAACTTTGGACTTTGCGTGCCTTGGGGTAACTGTAAACCACTTGGCAACGTCTCTCCTGTTAGGAATCTGCAGTTGTCGTTGCAGTCATTTGGCTGAAACCAAACTGGCTCACTCTGCAGGAGACACTCCTTCAGCCTTCCTTCCTGCTGCCTCTGTCACGGCCACCTGACTCTCACCCTGTGAGTGTGAGGCCCTTCTCCGTGCTGGGAGGCTGGGAGGCATCACTGGGACCCACCGTGCTGGTTCCCTTGGAGGCGCCCTGCCCTGACACCACCGTGAAATGCCCATTCAACCTCCAGAGCTGCGGCACAAAAACAGCCGTCGCACCATCCTGCTGGGAGGAGGCTGTTTTACAAAATCATTGAAGCTTCTGAGATATCACAATGATTGTAGGGGCCAGTATCATTTAGTAACTGGAGGTCTGGGATGTCAGACATCCTGAAATGTGTAGGATGGTCCCACAAAATGAAAAATTATTTTGTTCCCCTCACAACTTTCAAATGTCAAATATCAGACATTATGCATATAGTTGAAAAACCTACTTAATAATGATCTGAATCTAGAACCTACCTCTGTTTCATATTTAAACCTGAGGCACTTGGGGTATGCTTTTAACACAATTTTGAATTTTTCAGGAATATAACAATGGGGTAAATTGTAGGAAGGTTTTTGCTAGGAGTCATTTAGCAGTTCAGAATCTCACACCATGGCCATCAGGGATGCCTAAGGTGTCGGAGTGCACACACTACTGCCCTGCACCTGTTGGGTGACTCCTGTGATGCCCCTGTTTCTCCTACTCCAAGCATCTCACTTCTTCATTCTGCCTCCTGGTGCGTCATGCTTGAGAAAAACTTGTGGAAATTCCTTTTTTTTTCTGAATGTTTATAGGTATTTTTAAATATTTATTTATTTATTATTGGAACATAGTTGATTGTACATATCCATGTGGTACGTACAGCATTGAACATCGATACCTGTGAGCAATATGTGATGATCAAATCAGGATAATTAGTGTATTCTTCATTATACAATGTAATCAATTTTTGTGGCCATTTACCGATTCCTCCCTTTCCCCCTTCCCCTCCCCCCTTTCCAATTCTGGTAACCCCAGTTCTGTTTTCTTCTCTTAAAAGTTCAATGTGTGGGCCGGCCTGTGGCTCACTCGGTAGAGTGCGGTGCTGATAACACCAAGGCCGCGGGTTCGGATCCTATATAGGGATGGCCGGTTTGCTCACTGGCTGAGCGTGGTGCTGACAACACCAAGCCAAGGGTTGAGATCCCCTTACCGGTCATCTTTTTTTTTAAAAAAAAGTTCAATGTATTATTCTGATTATTGTGTCTTTATTTATTTTTATTAGCTCCTACAAATAAGTAAGGACATGAGCTATTACTCTTTCTGTACCTGGCTAAGTTCATCCATGTTGCTCCGAATGGCAGACTTTCATTCCTTTTTATGGCATAGTAGTATTCCTCTGCATAAATATACCACATTTTCCTTATCCAGTCGTCCATTGATGGACATTTAGGTTGGTTCCAACTCTTGACTATCGTAAATAGTGCTGCAATAAACATGGGAGTGCAGGTGTCCCTTTGGCATGATGATTTCTATTCCTTTGGGTATATACCCAGCAGTGGAATAGCTGGGTCATACAGCAGTTCTATCTGTAGTTGTTTGAGGAACCTCCATACCATTTTCCATAATGGCAGCACCATTTCACAGTCCCACCAGCAGTGTAGAAGAGTCCCTTTTCTCCACATCCTTGTCAGCATTTGTTATTCTGTCTTTTTGGTGATAGCCAGTTTAACTTGGGTGAGATGATATCTCAGTGTGGTTCTGACTTGCATTTCCCAGATGGTTAGTGATGCTGAACATTTTTTTTCATGTGCCTGTTGGTCATTTGTATATATGTCTTCCTTTGAGAAATGCCTATTCAGCTTCTTTGCCCATTTTTTAATCAGGTTACTTGTATTTTTACTGTTACATTGCTTGAGTTCCCTGTATATTCTGGATATTAATCTTTTGTCAGATGTATAGTTTGCAAATATTTTCTCTCACTCTGTAGGTTGTATTTTTTGCTCTGTTAATTGTTTCTTTTGCTGTGCAGAATCTTTTTAGTTTGATATAATCCCATTTGTTTATTTTTTCTTTGGTTGCCTGTGCTTTTGGGGTTGTAGTCATAAAGTCTTTGCCTCGTCCTACTTCCTGAAGTGCTTCCCCTACGTTTTCTTTTAGGAGTCTTATAGTTTCAGGATGTATATTTAATTTGTTAATCCATTTTGAGTTGATTTTGGTATACGGCAAAGGTACAGGTCCAGTTTCATTCTTCTACACATGGATGTCCAATTTTCCCAGCACCATTTATTGAAGAGGCATCTTTTCCCCAATGTATGTTCTTGGTGCCTTTGTCAAAGATCAGTTGGTGGTATATGGATTGATTTCTGGGTTCTCTATTCTATTCCATCGATCTGTGTGCTACTGATTTTTGCATGTTGGTTTTGTAACCCGCAACTTTGCAGAGATTGTTTATCAACTCTAAGAAGTTTTTTTTTTTTTTTTAATAGAGTCTTTAGGCTTCTCTCTATATAGGATCATGTCATCTGCAAATAGGGACAGTTTGCCCATCTTTTCCAATCTGGATGCCCTTTATTTATGCCTCTTGCCTGATTGCTCTGATTAGAACTTCCAATACTATGTTGATTAGGAATGGCGAGAATGGGCATCCTTGTCTAGTTCCTGTTCTTAAGGGAAAAGCTTTCAACTTTTCCCCATTCAGGATGACATTGGCAGTGGGTTTGTCATAAACGGCTTTTACTGTGTTGAGACACTTTCCTTCTATACCTCATTTGCTAAGAGTCTTTATCATGAAGAGATGTTGACCCTGTTAAATGCTTTTTCAGCATCTATTGAGATAATCATATGTTTTTTGTCCTTGATTTTGTTGATGTGTGTATCACATTCATTGACTTTTATATGGTGGACCATCCTTGCATCCCTGGGATGAATCCCACTTGATTGTGGTGTATACTTTTTCTGATGTGTTGCTAGACTCTATTTGCTAATATTTTATTGAGGATTTTTGCATCTATATTCATCAAAGATACCGGTCTACAGTTTTCTTTTTTTGTTGTATCTTTGTCTGGTTTGGGTATCAGGGTGACGGTTGTCTCACAGAATGAGTTTGGGAGGATGGCCTCTATTTCAATTTTTTTGGAATAGTTTGAAGAGAATTGGTATTAACTCCTCTTCAAAGGTATGGTAGAATTCAGCAGTAAACCCATCTGGTCCTGGGCTTTTCTTTGTTGGGAGACTGCTGATTGCTGCTTCAATCTTTTTGCTTGTTATTGGTCTGTTCATGTTTTCTACGTCTTCTCCGTTCAGTCTTGGTAGTTTCTATGTGTCCAGAAATTTGTCCGTTTCCTCCAGGTTTTCAAATTTGTTGGCATATAGTTGTTTATAACAGTCTCTAATGATTCTTTGTATTTCTGTGGTATTGGTTGTAATGTCTTCTTTTCTGTTTCTAATTTTTGTTATGTGTGTCTTCTCCTTTTTTTTTTAGTTAGCCTTGCTAATAGCTTGTCTATTTTGTTTACCTTCTAGAAAAACCAACTTTTTGTTTCATTGATCTTTTGTATCATTTTTTGGTCTCTATTTCATTTAGTTTGGCTCTGATCTTAATTATTTCTTTCCATCTCCTAATTGGGGGATTGGATTGTTCTCGTTTTTCTAGTTCTTTGAGGTGTAGCATTAGGTCATTTATTTGCAATCTTTATGTTCTTCTGATACAAGCATTTATTGCAATAAACTTCTCTCTTGGTACTGCTTTAGCAGTATCCCACAGGGTTTGGTATGATGTGTTTTTATTTTCATTAGTTTCAAGAATTTCTTGATTTCCTGTGTAATCTCTTCTTGGACCCATGTGTCATTCAGGAGAATGTTGTTTAATTTCCACATATTTGCATTGCTTCCAGAGTTTCATTTATTATTTTATTATAAATGACCATTTCGCCTCATATTACAGTTAGCGCATTATTTTGACTTTAAAGTTATGTGTAGGAAGACTGTGTCTTCTATGAGTTGCATCTCAGGATGGTAAAGAGAACATTACAAGATTTTTGTTATTAAAAGAGGACACTAGATCTGAAAGGGTTGACAATCGCAGCTCAAGCACACTTGAAATTGTCAGGTCTCTACAGAGGTCACATATGCATTGCATCTGAGCAGAACCATCCTTCTTGGGGTGTACTAAACTCTGATCTGCTCATGCTGATCAGCATAGCAATCCCAGCTCTGGGAGGTGGGCTGCACTCTTGAATTGAGGGTAGGGAAGAGACAGGTGAAAGGAGAGTGGGAGAGGAAAGCAGTACAGGTCCTCACTCCACCCCTGGTAAATATGATGGGGTGGAAAGAGCAGTGGCCTAGGAGCCAAGATGCCTGGTCTCAGTTCCCCAGCTCAGCCTTAGCTGTCTGAATGACATTACATATGTCACTTCAGTTCTGTAGTCCTGGGCTTTTTACCTGCAAAAATGGACTAGACCCCTTCCAGTTCCAGCACTTTGTGGTTCCACCTTAGACTATGTCTGTCAATAAGCTGTTTCACTTGAAGTTATATATACAGAGAGAGAGGAGGGAAGGAGATAAGGACACTAATATTTTTAATGAAGTTCTACAGGGCTGCATATCTTAAAGGACATAATCATGCGAATATGTTCTTATATTCATAAGAGCAGATGAGAAAACTGAGGCTCAGGGAAGTTAAGTAACATGCACAAGGTCATGAAGCCAGGAAGCAACAGAGCAAGGGTTTGTACCCAGCCTGACTCCAAATGTTTTTTCCCAACCGTGATGTTGCCTTAAAAAAAGGGGAACTGAGAGGCCTAGACAGATCCTCACTTCTTACCTAAGGAGGAAGAGGCTTCTCTGTTACTGGCCCAATTTCATTTGCTAAATTCATAGTGTCATTATATGTAGGGTGACCATTCATCCCCATTTGCCTGGAACAGTCCCGCTCTGTGTCTGTTGCCTCGACAGCATTGTTAAAAATGCCCCTTTCATTCTCAAAAGGTTTGACTAATAAATTTGCGATCACTTAATTACATGTCTGCTCTCCTGTGAGTGTTTCACAACCAACATGGGAGCTGGAAGAATAACATCACTTGCTGTTGTGGGGATTAACAAATTGTGGGGATTAACAATTTAGGTCAAAAATATAATAAACTTTTAAATTTACTATATCCTGCATGTGCTGTCAGCCTCTAAAGTGTTTTCTATCCACATTAAGCAGTATGCAGACTTCCAGAATTTAGTAAGACAGTATGCCCTTAACCTTGCACGTTTCTCCTTTATC